GGGTAAGTCTGGACACTCAGGACAATAAATTATAGTCTTTTGCAAATTTTTTTTTGCTTTGTGGCGCCGGGGAAAACTCTACCGATTAACGCTGGGCGTTTAACGTGTTAAACGCAAAGGAGAAGCCACAGAATATTAAGCATTAAATATCATTTTGGCCCATTATATTTCCATAAAAAGTTTTTTTTTAAGTAAAATTATTTAGACCGGTAAAATTCAATTCTACTTCATTTGTTTTGGTTATTTGACGTCGTCCCTATTTCGCAAATCCTAGAACGCGGTCGAGGACAAATCCGAAGGCGAAGTGTCGCGATTTTTTTACGGTAATGGTACGACAGGATTACAATTTAACGATCAAATTCGTTAGCGGTACGAAACATAATACGGTTTGCTCGCACGCGGTATTGCAAAACACACAAGAGCATGGTAACAGTCGAGGCAAGGTCGATACACACTCGTCAACACATTGCAAGAATTCCCGATATCTTCCTAACTAGAGAATTCGAAATTCGTTTCTCAGAGTCGCGAAGTGGTCAGGAATCTCCGTCCTAACTGAAAAAAATAGAATAGAGAAATAGCGGCAATCGTTAGACCTCCCTGCGACGCAAAGTCCCCGAGAAAATCTTCCGGGCGCGATAGAAACGACACAAAATCCGTCAAAGGTTTCTAGCGGTGGAACAAACGACAACGTGAGGCGAGACTCACCTCCACGTTCACAAAATTATGAACTCTTTCGCACCTACTTCTAAGCCACTTCGCGAAAATCAACGAAATAACAATAATTGCGACTTACAGTTCCACAATCCCCCGCTTCCTCGTTTCCTCATGATCTCCGATCCTGCGATTCAGCTTCTGACGCACTCTATTATCAGGACCTTCCACAGCTGTGGTCCTCCACGCCCGCACTACATTATTTGTAGTTCCCTAACAGTACTTTGCGACTATTCGGGATTCTAACACACGCGTTTATAACGGTAGTTCACTCGACAGTGAATCTTTGCGACTTTTGGCGACGACGAGAGCCGATCCTTTGTGCTCCCCACCCTACTCATTACCAGGTCTTAGCTGCGATTGGCCTGTCTAATCATATGATACGAAAATTCGACAGGACTGTCTCAAGAAACGCGGTTAGCCCAAGCCGATTCGGGCTTTACAAATGTGATTGCTCCCGGTGACCAGGGGAGATCCGGTATCTTCTCAGGGCACCTCCACATCACCCACATAAGAATCTTAATCGGCTTTTCGTCCCTGACGCTTACCTATAAAATCGGTTTTTTAATCCGACTTGTACCTGCAAATCGGATGTCATGGCAACCGACAATTTGTTATCTATTATTGATGTAAAAGTGTTAGATTGCACTATTATAAGTACTCATATTATTATATAAGATACATTTCGCGATTAATAAACGAATGGAATAAAATGAAATGAGATGAAATGAGATGATGAAATGAAATAGATAAAATAGATATTGTTTAAGGCTAATGTTATAAAAATTCAAAAATGCTATTCAATTTAATTACCCTATAATAACAGAAAGCGAATAATATAGAAAGCACTTTCACAAAGTTTTTATTTAACATTTCTATAAGCAAACAAAAAAGCGAATATAAGTATTCGTGCTCGAAAGTCTAAGGCAAAACGGAGCCGCTATCAGAGAAATGTTTATGGCCGAATGACTGGTGAGGCGTGTATAAGACATTCAACCACTTCCGGTCGGTAAAATTTTATGTGGGCTGTGGTTCTGGTCGCCTCCGGGTTTGTTGATCCGTCTGTGGGGTGACCCTAGTCTTCCACCTACGCGCAGTATACTACAGTACGGTCCCAACTGGTGGCAGCCACGGGGTGTCATACAGAGAGGCTGGGCGAGGGAAACTGGTCGCAATTTTGCAATGTCTCAGTTTACAGTGATATCTTGTAAGTTCGCACAGTATCAAAATCTTGGTAGCGAACCAAATATAAACTATGTTAATTTTAAAGTGTACTATCTTTTTGTTCCTCACTGCAGATCCCTGTGGCTTTATATGTACATCTTCGTCTATTTGTAAAGTTTTATTACCCGGGTCTTTTATTGTAAAAGATTACATCTTAGCGATTGAAAGGTATAGTAGTAGAAGTAGAGGGAAAAGTAAGCAATTCAAATTCAGACATTTTTATAGATTAATACTCAGCTCAGACACACTTATTATGTTCTTTTGTATAATAAGCGATAAACAAGATCGTGACAAAATTTAACGTCGCAAAAATATTCGGACAGTGAATGAATTACATCAATTTGATATAAAATGAAAAACTTTTTAATCATGTTATCATAATATTAATATTTTGTCGGTTGACCCTTTTGTTTTATTACATCATGTAATCGTTTGAGCTTATTACAGATGATTTTATTTAAATACTGCGGTGAAATCCGTTTCTATTCGTCTAACAATCGGATTTAAATCAGGCGATTGAGGAGGAGGATGCAGTACTTTTGGACAATTGTATAATAAATATTCCTGTACAATTCTGACCTTGTGTTTAGGATCATTGTCCTGATAAAACTTAAAACTGTACGTATACCCATATTTATAGCACTTGTAATGAAATTTTTTTTTTAAATGTCCAAATATTTAATTTTGTCCATAATACTATCGATAAAAACTAGTTCACCTACATCTACAGACGAGATATAATCCCACACTATTACACTCCTACCACCGTGTTTCACTGTCGGTCTTAAATTTGAAATGTTTAATTCTGTATTTACTTTACGTCACACCATTTTTTGACTGTCGGATCCGTAAAGATTAAATTTGCTTTCATCCGAAAATATTACATCATTGCACGTATATTTAATTACAAAGTTATCCGACAAAAGTAATATTCCGGTTATCGAAATTTCAAAGGGTTGCCTGTTCACAGGAAGAAACATTTATTCTATAAATTAAAGTTGAGATATTGATATTTTGCCAAAAATTACCTCGCTCCAGATTACTGTGCGACATGGTGAAATCACCGACAGTGTTTACATCGATACTCGTTTGACCGCATTGACTTTATGTTTATCTCACAATGATAGTCATGCGGTACGGTTGACAGGTAAACGTAAGCCAATGTTGGTAGTGAAATAAACGTCGATGAAATGGTTGATGATTTCACCATGTCGATTAATTAATGTTGTGCCATAATATTTGTGCCATGCAAATCAGCACGTGGAAAACATTCCATATCTTTTTAATTGCGCGTATCTCATGATTTCTTTTAATTTAAAAGCTGTTCTAAGTTGTAATAAGTTGTAGTCGTAGGATAGTCCGTAAAAGTTTTTTCGTAATCAAGAACGAAATATATATACCAATCTATGGTTAATACAAATTCTTGGAAGCTGTACAGCTGAAAAACTTTAGAATTATTTAATGTAAAATTAAATTCTTTTAGTTTTTCACTACAAGAAAACATTTTAACTGTTGTGAATGGTGGAGCGTCTGTTATGCAAAAATTTGAACGAATCTCTCCGGCATACTAACAGTTGTGTTATAATCATGGGGTACATTTAGTTGTTTTTAAAATATTTTATGTATTTACAGTTATATTTAGCGTCTGTTTTTCTTTGTTTTTTTTTTATTTTTATCAAAAAACCCGACTCATTTGCAACGCATATTACGAAGTATTTTACGGAAGAAATTCCAGCACTCTTTCATCGCAGTGATTGCAATTGTGTGGAGAAAATGCAACAAGGGAAGCGTTTGCAGTAAGAGAGGGATTAAAAAATTTCTTATCATCACTGGAGGACTCTCGCATTTATTCGCATGGAATATCAATGATATTCCAAAAATCATAAATTTTCTAATATTTTTTTATTTTATTAAAAATTTTAGAGAATTCTCGAGAAATATAGTCTTATTTCTAGAGAAATGAAAAATGTTGAGAAATCAGGAACACTACGTATCTCCTCTTTCCAAGTTTGTTCGTTTTTGTTTTCAAGCTGAGGGTCAATATGGAAGAATTTACTGTATCTACGAAGGACTCTACCTTGTCTTGTCCAAGTTTTTGATATTATTGTGTTAGCAAGAAAGTAATTCCGGTTTTGATACAGCAATTACGACGCTCTCTATGCGTGAATTCACGGAAGCCAACTCATATATATATATATATATAANTATATATATATATATATATATATATATAATGCAATGACATAACTTTTTTAATTTTAATGTTTGAAACTGAATTTTTTTTTAACATATTCCTGATAGTTTTCTGATTAAAAGAAAATCAAACATGATATAATTTCGATTACATTTATTTATTTAATATTTATTCTGTAATTCCTTTTATTACATTATCACTGTGACTATATAAGAAAAATAGATTGTTATGTATATAAATAATAACTGTGTAGCGTATTTTTAACATACTAAAACACTCTATTCACCACACATGTTATAACGATTATATATAAATTAAAATGCTGCATTGATATTATACATAGTTATGCATATATACTAATTAGATAAGTGAAAATTTATATTCTATATTAAATTGTTTTGTGGCGTATCATCTATGGAATCATCTAGTATCGTGGCCTACGCTGATGGTTTTTCTCCATTTCCTAATAACAAATAATGTAGAAAAAATTAGTTTATAAATTATTCATATTCAAATTGGCTGCAAATTTTTACTATTGTATGAATTCGTACTTATTTAATTTTTCTTGCCTAAGAAAAATAATTTTAATCCCTGCACCATGCAATGTTTGCAACGTGGTGCTTTTTTGCATTGTGAAACGTCATTGTCTCTAATTCCGTACGTAATTCATTGTTCACAATCCCATGAAAAATCATTTGATTTAAAATTCCAGGATTGATGGAAAAAGTACAGTAAACAGTTCCTTCACACTCTCCGTCAAATGTGTAGGATCATTCCACCGAATCTCCGTCGAATCATGACATAGAATTGTCACCGCTATCCCCTCGGAGTTAGAGTTGAAACGTCGCTGTCCCCTCGAAATTACAGTCGAATCGAGGCCCGGATAGCGTAATTCCACCGATGTTTTCTTTTGAACGACATACATACCTTCGTTGTCGTTACCTTTAATATTTTTTTTAATGCTTTTTTTGTTATATAATTATAATTTGTATAATGAAATAAAATAAAATTCCGAGATTCGGGCATTCTAGGGAGAATTTATTGTAGCCTTTTTATAATTCGGCCAAGCGGTCAAAATATTTTCGGGAATGTTGGAGGAATTAGCTTATTAAACGATGGCTAGAACATTATTTTCAAAAATTACAATTTGCTGGTATGATAAAAGTATTAAAAAATTATGTTTCTACAACTTTTTTATGTAAGCCTATAACGAAAATGTAAAAAATGCATTTTGTAGATCTCGGTAACTTAGATGCTTGCCGAAAATGTAAAATGTAAAAATAATAATATAATAATATATAAATGCAAAAATTACCTGTTTTTAATTGAAGATCGTGTTATTGGTTGAAAACGGCTTTGGANGAAAATAAAATAATAGAATATAAAACATACTTATACTAACATTATACTTATGTTTAAATTTATTTTAAAAATATTATAACATTTTATTAGTTGCGATGGAATTCGTTAAAACATTTTAAACATAATTGGGGTAAGTCTGGACACTCAGGACAATAAATTATAGTCTTTTGCAAATTTTTTTTTGCTTTGTGGCGCCGGGGAAAACTCTACCGATTAACGCTGGGCGTTTAACGTGTTAAACGCAAAGGAGAAGCCACAGAATATTAAGCACTAAATATCATTTTGTCCCATTATATTTCCATAAAAAGTTTTTTTTAAGTAAAATTATTTAGACCGGTAAAATTCAATTCTACTTCATTTGTTTTGGTTATTTGACGTCGCCCCTATTTCGCAAATCCTAGAACGCGGTCGAGGACAAATCCGAAGGCGAAGTGTCGTGATTTTTTTACGGTAATGGTACGACAGG